TTCCGTCCGCGCGGCCGTCCGAGCGGCGGCGCCCGGCCGGCTCCCTTAAGCTGAGGCGCCTCCCGCTGCCTCCTCCCCCTCGCCGGTCCCTCCCTCTTAGCTCGCTCCGGCGAAGTTTGCACGTCAAGCCCCCGGAGTGGAGCCAGGGCGAAGTCGGAAACGCAGCCACCTATGGAGGAGCCAGACTGCCGGCCCCAGGGCACCACTACTAGTGTAGTCGCGGTCGGACCCTCCATTTCTGGGGTCCAGACCGGGGCGGTTGGAGGCTCAGGCGCTAGTGCAGGGAGCACTGAGCTCTACACTCGCGGACGGCCGCGCAGCTGTCAAAAACATGAATGGGAAGCTGCCGCCGAGCGGACGCCTGGCGTATAGGAAACCACCGGCAGGCAAAGAAATGCGACCCAGGTGCCGTCCCAGGTGTCTGCCCGAGGCCCGGTCCGGTGTTCACCTGATGCCCACCACTGGCAGGTCACAGCGTGAGCCTGGGGGTCTTGAACTTCTTGTCCAGCAAAGAGGAGACCATGAATCAGTGTAAGATGGAGTGGAGGAGAGACCGAGGCGAATCCGTTCACAGGTTGTAAAGCCGCTATCCCAAATTTTTCTATTTCCCCTTCCACTGCTCCTGGAAGTAATTTATTCACCCCGAAAAAAAAATCTTGCCATTTAAAAATCTGATTCATTTTTAATTCGAGTTATTAGTCTCTCAGTCTTTATGGCAAAGCTTGGGCAGGGCGGGGAATCCAGGGCTTAGGGTAATGTACAGCATTCCAAGAAAAATGGGTTTAGAAAATACTGTTGTCTGTCAGATCGAGTTCACTATATTAAGCACTAACCCACAAAACTTAGCACCCCCCCCTACACACACTGCACCCAAAATTTTGCTTAAGGGATAGATAAAGATAGCAAAATAAAAGGCTACTTAATGAACTAGAGCATGCGAAAATCTGAAACGAAAGATTTTGATGATCATGTTTCACATAGTAATATCAGCACTCCTGTGGCACGTGTGTCTTGGTTGCTTGCTTACAAGTGCTTTATCTAGGTGGGGAGGAAGCAAGTTTATTTATTTATTTATTTATTTTTAATCTAGGACATCTGGTGTGACAGAGTTGGCCAACTTCTCTGCTAAAGAAACAAAGTCCAATTTGCAGAAACATAAAAACGTTGAAATAAGTAAAAACTAATATGGGAATGTTATTGCAACCTGAACTCAATACAAGGCTCTTGTTAAAAAGGTTTGTTTTAAGTTCAAAATTTATTTTATTTTATTTTTTATTTTATTTTTTGTTTGTTTATTGATTTTATTTATTCATGCCTACAGCACCAGGTTCAAAATTTAAAAGCTTCCCAAAAAAATGAGTTTTTTTTATTTTAAAAAGATTTAGAAATAAGTGTATAAATTTTTTCTGTATTGCATGCAAACATGTTTCAAAAAGTGAAACTATGGATGCTTCCTGTCCTTATCTAAGAAGTAGTAAAAACAAAATAATAAAGAGTAGTAGAGCATCGATGAGAAAAATGCATGGGTAAAACATATAATTCCCTGGGTAACAACAGGGTTCCTAACTCCTGACATAGTACCTCAATCTTGGATGTCCCCAATGCAGACTTTTAATTTTTCATTCATCCCAAATCACTGAAACACTGTAGAATTACATAAAAACATCCACCTTCTCTGTTTTCCTAGATTAAGTACACAGTTTATGAATTACTTTGAATTTTGTAATTCTACATTTAAGATAAATAAAAATTAGAATTTAAATGGCATTTGGAGCTGCCATTAAAAAGAAAAGCTTAGTGCCACCCAGCTATATAAATATAAAAGGAAACTTATTTATTGAGTACAGCCCTTATTTTCCTTTTCACCCTGAGAGTACAAGGTGAGAAGGAAAATAAGGGAAAGAATGTCAAATATGAAGTACAGTCCCACTTCCTCAAGATATTGCTTGATTCCCCACTTTGAAAATACCTTTTCAATACTTGATCCCCCTGTGAAAATAGTTTAAGAATCACTAAAATGACTTCTAGTCAATGGGCAGCATTATGACAATGTTTAAGCTTCAACTTTTGTCCTTAACCCTGCTTGCTACCTTTTTTATTCTTTATAGCTTTTTAATGGTTTAATAAAGAAAACACAACAAGGCTTAAAATGAAAAATACTAAGTATTCTCTTAGCATTATGATAGTTATTAAGAGAAATTATTACTAATAGCAGTTAGCAATTATCGAGCACATATTAGGTGCCAAGACTTGCTACAGGTACTTTCTCAATTATTAAGTATCTCAATTAATATTCACAACTGTGTAAGATAGAAGTTGTACTGCTTAAAATTTACAGATAAGGAAAATGAGGGAGGGCTCAAGCCAGTCTGTGTTCATATACTGGCTCTTCTACTTGCAAGCTGTGTAACCTGAGCAAGTTACCTAATTTATCTGCACCATAGTTTCTTAATGTGTAAAATGGAGATAAAGCCAGGTTTCTTCTGAGGATTATATGAAAAGATCCATGGAAAGCACTCAGTCCAAAGTTTAACATAAAATAAACACTATAAATAAGTGTCGTATATCAAACTGAGCAATTCAGATCAATTATCTGAAAAAGTTATTACTAAACTGAAAAAGATGTGAGGACCAAGAAAATGATAAGCAATTCCTGACATCTCTTCTGCTACAGCTCAATACATTTTACCACACTCTCTTCATCCTAACTCACAACCCCTTCTTGATCAAGCAGTTTCCGATATCCATTAGTTGGTCTGGATTTCCCAATAGTTCAAGTGAGTCATCAACAAAAGTCAAAACTGCTAGTTGGGAAAGTACTGTGTTCTGATACTCACATTTGGGCAATATTTAAAAAGTGCTCCTTATATAAAAGAGCACTGTTCAAAAACAAGAGTACAAAGAACCTGCTGACTTCTTACCTAAATACCCCTCCTCTACACTCAAAATATAAAAAGGAAATGACCAAATACAACTTACATTCATTTAATATAATTAGTTTAATATAGCAATGTGCCTTGTATGCTATCAATCAGTTCTGTCAGTGTACTTCTGATGATGTCTTGTAGCTCGAGGATCTTCAGGATCTGTCTGCACAGATAAGTGATGTTTTATAAGGTCTGAGTAATGAGGGCTCAATTTATCAAAGTTCCTGATTGCCTACCACATACCAGACATTCTGCTAGGCACCAGGGTGAGCACAACAAGTGATTTCGCCAAGGACATGAGAAGAGTAAGGAGAAGAGGAAAACATTTAATTTATCAAAATACTCTTATGGAAAAAGCTGTTACTACCAATTAGATTGTTTGTGGCTTAAGACCTAGGCCGTCAGAAGAGAAATGCTGCCAAGTTGTGAGCATTTCATCCCTTACAGGGATGTATTTAAAATATGGCCTTACTTCACCATCCAAATTTAGGGATGTTCCCAGCAGGTGCCAAGGGTAACAAGGTCTCTCTTTAAGAGAATGATTCTTTGCACAACAGATTCACTTGTAAAATGCTTTGTTCAAACACCAAAGGCATCACTAAGTGGAAAAAAAAAAAAAAAATTGATTACGCCAGTCTTTAAATCTGGTTTAATGTAAAATGGCTGAAACTTTCCAAAAAATTTCTAAGATGCAAGATGCCACACAGCTAGCCTTTTTATTTAGAAAAAAACCACTAGTCCCAATACAACACTTTAATAAACTTGAAAACCAGCAACTACAGTATGTTTATCCGTGCAAATTACAGGGTTGGTAACAGATTATCCATTATCAACCCCAAATGTTATTTCCTTTGAGTAACAAAAAACTCAGATCCACTGAATTAGGAATGTGTTGGCTTTGGTTTCTTTATGTCCTCCTAAAATTGGCTGAGCCTCTGTTCACATCCCCTCTTTCTCCTCTGACCACACCTCTCTCTTTCTCCAAAGGGAGCCACGGCTCTCTTCTGCATATGCGGTATGACAGACAAGGCCCCTCCTTAAACTATGCTCCCTCTAGTGAAATATGGTAACTTACAGTCAGTATTCCTGTAGGGGGAGAACAGTGGAAGGAGGAAATTGAATTTATCAGCTCAGTCGCTGGAATTGCTGAAAATCACTTGCAAAATTAGAAATATAAATAATTGCAAAAGTGGAGACTTTTAAAGGGTAATTATCTTTTAAAAAGACAACTTGTACATGTATTTATTCTACAAACTATGCCATTTGCCAGGAAGTTCAAAACTTTGAATTTTTAGTTTGTTTTCTTAATCATATGTGTGTTAACTGCATACAGATTCTCCCAAGGAAACATTTGCTAGTAACAGCAAACTTTTTGAAAGAGAAAATTTAAAAATACACTCATAAAAGTTAATAAATTATAATTTTTAACCTGAATAATACCCAAATGTTTCTAGGAATTTAATACTAACCTATAATTTTAAACTATTGACAAATATGATTTAAAATCTTCATTTAAAGCCTTCAGGTAAAGTAGTTTTAAAAAAATAGAAAGGATTAAGTTATAGAGAAAGAATGGAAAGTTGGACCAACATTTAGCTATAAAAAGAGGCTGACTGTATAGAGTTCTAGTGCACTGCCTCAGATGCAATAAAATGCAAAATTAAACATGCAGTTAAAAATAATTCCCTATGTCACCTTTGTACTGATACAGCTTTCACTGAAGTGACTGTAAATATCACCATCTCATGGGCCCAGCGGTTAAAAGCATAGGTTCTAGAGCCTCTGTGCTTGTTTCCTCGTCTATATAAAAGTAAAAGAGAAGCATCTACTTTATGAGGAGCATTAAGGAAGTTAATAGTGCAAAAGCACCCTATAAGTGTTAGCTATTATTAGCACTATGCTGTCACATAGTAAGCCCCAATTCTAATCTATCCGTGCTACACTGTCAGAATCAGTCTAGCAGAATGAAGCATAGCTTTAGTTATGTCAGTCCTTGCTCTAACACTTGAGGGGCTCCCCACTGACCACTGAATTCAATAAACACTTTTCTCCTACCACTCAAGACCTTCTACAGTTAGCCCCAGCCCCAGCTCTACAACATCTACAGTGTCTCCTCTAGCAGGCACTCTACAGTCCAGCCAAAATGACCAACTCATAGCTTTAAAACTTCCTATTCCAGATCCCAACTCCCAAGCCTTTGTTCACACGGGTCACGCCATCTGTAATACTTTCCTTCCCTTGGCTGAAACTCTATCATTCGATCAAGTCCTTCTTCACATTCCATTTCTTTAAGAAAATCTTTCCTTGCACTAAGCATATGGGAACTCATCACCACCACTAAATCATAGGACTTCATGAATGAGATTAAGAGCACATGCTCTTAAATCAAGGTGGCACCACGATATATGCTTACTCTCCCAGGGATCAACGGTTTGCAGTCCCAACATAAGGGTGTCACTTGGAACTTGGAACTCACCTTCCCACAAACCGTAAGATGTGTGGGGCGCGAGGTCCCCAAGCTGAGCAGCAAACTGCCTGAGGGCTGAATTCTAGGACTAACAATGCTTGAGTGCTAGTTCAAGAGGAAAGGAACACTGATTTTTCTTCCCCCTTTCCTCAGCAAAGTTCCAACTCTAAGGAAAGTCATAGATCCAGCAAATGAGACCCCCCTGACTTTTCCACATTATTTATGTACACCCTGATCCAGTAGCCCATCTGGGTTTGTACTGCTTCTCAAAGGACAGACCCTCCCACAAAGGCTTGCATTCTCCTTCTACCTCTAAATTAAAACACACAATGAATATACTCCCATGGCCATTTTGATTTTAAATGGCACCATCTGTAGTGCAAGCAAAGTTTCTGATCCTTTATTTTAAACTATCACATCTATTTTAATCTCTCTTTTGATCAACATAAAATCTCCAGGACCCAGAGACCTTGATCATCTTCACTTTCTACCACATTCCTCTCCCCACTAAAGTGCTTTAAGTGAAGGAACTTCAGGAGCAGAAAAGGTGAACTGAAACAAAATTGCTACTGATGAGAAATCTACCTCTGCTACTTTCCAGAGCTTCTTGCCCCATCTCCACTTCAGAAAACAGGTATTTTCACAAAAGAGGGTTTTTTCCCAAATGATTTCTGGGGGCAGTAGCAGCAGTGTAGCAATCACAAATGGGTGGTTGGTAGGTTGGAATTCAACTTACCAGGTATTTCTTTAAAAAGAGCCAAATAGATAAACTGGACTTCATAAAATGATTAAACTTTTGTGCTTCAAAAAACACCTTCAAGAAAGTGGAAAGACAACCCAGAGGATGGAGAAAATTTATGCAAATCATATATCTGATAAGGGACTTGGATCTGGAATGTATAAAGAACTCTTACCACCCCATCCCCCCCATCAAAAAAAAAGACAATCCAATTTTCAAAATGAGCAAAAGATGTCAATAGATAATTCTTCAAACAAGAAAATACAGATGACCAACAAGCAAATGAAAAAATTCTCAACAGTATTTATCATTAGAAAAATACAAATCAAAATCACAATAAGATACAACTACGTACCCACTAGGATGGCTATTAATAAAAACAAATCAACGAAAACAGAAAATGACAAGTGCTGGTAAACATGTGGAGGAATTAGAATTCTTGTACATTGCTGGCAGGAATGTAAAACAGTGTAGCCCCAGTGGAAAACAGTTTGGCAGTCCCTCAGAGTTAAACACAGAATTAGAATATTATCCAAAAATTCTACTTCTAGCTGTATACTCAAAAGAATTGAAAGCAGAGACTCAAAGAGATACTTGTACACCAATGTTCATAATAGCATTATTCAAAATAGCCACAAAGTGGGAACAACCCTAGCGTCTATCAACTGATGAATGGATAAATAAAATGTGGTATATCTATACAATGGAACATATTCAGCCATTAAAAAGAATGAAGTACTAATATATGCTACAATATGGAAGAACCTAAAACTAAGCCAAGTAAAAGGAGAAACACAAAAGGCCACATACTGTATTATTTCATTTAGGTGAAATATCCAAAATAGACAAATCCAGAGACAGAAAGCAGATGAATGGTTTTCAGGATCAAGAGAGAGGAGAGGATGGAGAATGACTGCTTAATGGAAACAAAGTCTCCTTTGGGGGCGATGAAAATGTTTTGGACCCAGATAGAGGTGATGGTTGAGCAATGTGAATATACTAAGAACTATTAAATGGGCAAATGTATGGTATTTGAATTATATTTCAATAAAGTGATCTTGTAAAAAGCCAACATTAAAACTTCGAAAATCTTACACAAAATTCCAGATTGACTTCTCTTGAAAAATCTCAATGACCAAATGGTCTCTCATGACAACCATCAGTTGGAACTGAAGCTGGTTCTGGAGCCCATCTCTGCAACTGCCTAACTCTAGACATGTTTCATCTCTGCCTGAGCTTCTCTGTAAAAGGAGACGTAATAGTATCAACCTCATCAGGTTGTTATGAGGAGTCAATGAATTAATATGCTTAGAAAAGCACTTGGCACATAATAAGTGCTCATTAAATGTTAGCTACTTTTATATCTTATGATATCTCATCCTCTTTATAATCGAGATAAATGGCATTTTCTTTTCTTTCTTTTTCTTTTCTTTTTTCTTTTTTTACAAATTAAAGTATAGCATAAAATGTAGAAGTCCAAAAGAAAGAAGTGGAAAGACAGTCAAGATATAAGAATTTAAAAAGCAACACGTAAAATACTATGCATAGTACATGCCTATTTTTGTGAAAAAGCAATAATGATGATAATGTTAAGTCTATGGATAGAAAACAATCTAGATAACTTTAAACTTACGGGGAGGAGAAAGAATGAAAGAATGTAATTAAGGGGGCTTTTTATTAACATACATATTTACATAATAAACTTTTCTAGCTTTATTGAAATATAATTGACATATAACATTATGTAAATTTAAAGTACACGATGTGATAATTTTATATATATATAAAAATATGATCACCACGATAAGATCAGTTGACACATTCATCAGCTCACACAGTTTCCTAATTTTTTTTAAATGATAAACTTTTATAACCAGGAACTATAGTAAGAATTTTTTTTAAAGAAGAAACTCTAAATAATTTTGTTTGATACTTGTGTGAGATTGTCACAAAATTCTACCAGCTGAGTAGCAACATCACCGACTGATAAAACTAGGAACCATTTGCTTTCCTTTGAAACCCAGGGACTGTGATTCCTAAAGCACAAACCCCTCTTCAGTTTTCTTCTTCCTTATGGAGTATGTATACACTGCTGTATTTTACTGCTCCCAACAGAAAAATTCTAAACTCCTTGGCCTGGCAGGCAACACCTTTCACTATCTGGCCAAATATCCTTTTTATAGCTTTATCACCTATCACTCACACTTAGAAAAACTCCACTCTGGCTAAAGACATAAAACACATCCCTCAAATGTTTTTCCACATGTAATTAAAAAAAAAGAGAGATAAAATTCACTCAAAATTTATCATTTTAACAATTTTAAAGTGTATAACTTAGTGACATTTAGTATATTCACAATGTGGTACAACCATTATCACTACTTGGTTCAAGAGCATATTCATCACCCCAAAAGGAAACCCAGTACCCATTAAGCATCCCCCCTCTCTCATCCCTTCCCCAGCCCCTAGAAGCCACATCTGTTTTCTGTCTCAATAGATTTGCTTATTTTGGATATTTCTCATAACTGAAACCATATAATATGTGGCTTTTCATGGCTGGCTTCTTCCAGTTAGCATAATGTTTTCAAGGCTCATCCATGTTGGAGCATGTATTTGCAATTTATTCATCTTTATGGCTGAATAATATTCCATTGTGTAGAAAGATATACCACAGTTTTTTAATCCATTCATCCGTTGATGGACATTTGGCTATTGTAAATAGCTGTATGCCATTATCTTTCCCTTCCTTCAGTTTCATGTGCTAATCAAAGTCAAGCTTTCATGTGAGTTTCAAATCAATTCTTACCTTCCCCAGCTTAGCCTGGCCCAAAGTACTCATCTTTCTCTAAATTCTTCACTACTTCTATACTCGAGAGCAAATTGTCAGCATACGACAGAATCCCATAGACTATTTGAATTGACTCAAACTGTTTTCTTTTCTTAAATTAGTTGCTAACATTAAAATACTCAAGAAAAATCATTAAAGTCAAGATTCCAGTTCCCTTAAAAGTCTGGAAGGTCTCTTGCCTGGGTTATTGCAGTAACCACAGTTTAACTGGTCTCACTGCTTTACCTTGCCCCTACAGCCTTTCTCAATACACTGCCCACAGTGGTTTCATTAAAACAGAAGTCAGATAAAGTCACTACTCTACTCAGAACATTCCAGTGGCCTCTCATTTCTCCCAGAGTAAAAGCCTATGAGGTAGCATACGCTGGCCTTGTACCCATGTGACTTTTTCCTATCACACTCCTGCCTGCTCACTTAGCTCTGGCCTTCTTTCTACTGCTTAGACAACTCAGGCAGGCTTCTGCTTTAGAATTCTGTAGTGGATGTTCAGTGGATCCCCAGATAGCTCAATGGTTCACTCCTTCACCCTCAATGCTCAGATCTCACCTCAAAAAATCCTACCCTGACCACCCTTATTTAAAATTGTAAGCCCTCATCAGCACTCCCAATTTTCCTTATCCCGACCTTCTACTTCTAACCATTTATCATCATCTAGTATAACAAATAATCTATTTACTTATGGTATTTGCTGTCTATTATCTGTCTCTTTCCATTCAAAGGTAAGTGCCACAATGGCAGGGACTTTTGTCCCTTTGATTTAATGCCCAATGCCCAGAAGAGCACAGTATGTTGGTAGGCACACAATAAATATTTATTGAATGGATACTGGGTTTACAATCAGCTGGGGCTGAAGAGGGGCTGCCCTTTAGATGAATTTGACAGTTCCTCTCAGTTCTACCAGGCCCATTTCATTCCTCTACCTGTCTGGTCCCTGCAGACTTGAGTTTGTGACACTTCTTTTTCCCCTGCTCCTTGTCATTGACTTCCTGGTATCACACTAACCTTTTCATCAGAGGATGTCTTAATTGTAGTCTGTGGAAATCACCTATTACTCTTCTCTTTTCCTCCTCAAGGACAATCTCTTTGCACAGAGTAGAAACTCAATAAACAGTTTTAGACTGAATTGCTCTTTTGGCATTTCTGTTAATGTTTCTTCCATACCTTCCCCCTCAATTCTCACCACTGGCAATTGCTGACCACCATCTAGAAAAGCCCTGCTTTTCTCTTCTCTGGCACAGAGAAGACATTCCACAATGAATGCCATCCTTCATGATGACTTTGATGATCACTGAAGGATACCTCTACATTGCTGCCCTATCCGCTTTAGGCCAAAATTTTAAGGGCCTATTTTGAGGGTGAAGACTTTAGAGCTTCCCAGTTCTGTGTTCTTCTAAACACCTAAAAAGAACTGCCATATCCTTTCTGGAGCTCCTGTTTCTTTTTGGTAAGGGCCAAAATATTATCTTTCCAAAATGCTTCCATCTTTGCTACAGTTGCCTAAAACCTGAATGAGGCATTACATTTGTTGCCTAAATACATAAACTGATCAATTTCAGAGGCTGAAACTCCTTTGGTCTTTCTTGTTTGGATTCTGTTCAGTTTTATCCTTCAATGACTCACCTTAAACCGCGTGTTAACTTATAAGCCCCCTCATTGCTTTTAGGAGTAGATGGCAGGATGAATCTTTTTAATAAAAATTCCTTCAGGACTTTTTCCTCTTTCTCACATTATATGAAACTTACCATCCCTCTTCCCCAAATAGTAAACGCACAATGGCAAACATGTAGTGAGGAACTCCATTAATGGTGGCTGCTAGTTTTATAATGATCTGGGACTGCTCATGAGCACAGAGCCATCTGGTGGCTGAGCAAAGGCACTGGGCACAGAAAGTGTGCCTGCAGAATTCTTGCCTGTTTTACAATTTGCTTAGGATCTTCCCAGCCCTGAGTAGCCCGGTTTACATTGCTTGTGGAGAGAAGAAAACAGGAGCCGAGGAAAGTGGAGCTAGAGAGAAACACAAGGACATATCTTTGGACAACTTCCTCAGAAAAAATTAATACAAATTTTTTGGGGAGAGAGAAGGGGTCCTATCTCCAAAGTCTTCCTGTAATTGTAATGAATTGCACGAGGGATATTTAGCAGTTTTTGTTTTTATAAAACCTAATAATACTGAACTCTTAAATTCACTGTCATTTCATATTAGTAAGATCACATTCAGGGTTATGCTTAAAATCTGGAACCTTACTCAGATATCTTAAATTTAAAAACTATCACCCTTTGGTATAACTTACTCTATTATAATCGGAAGCATCATATTTATTCAACTGTTGGAACAGCCAGTTACCTTTACTTTGGAGGGCAGGCCAAAAATCCTGATCGATTTACCAGAGGATCTTCATCTGCTGTGACTGTGGAAGCTCTTTCTTTTTAATTCTGTTCAGATCTACAAAGAGAGAAAAGGGGCAAAGGGATGAAACAATGGGTAAAGCTAATAGGAAATCTATACTCGCATTAGTTAACAAATGTTTCAAAATTATATGTACTTTGAAATGTCAAACTGTTAAAATCTGAGGCATTACCAACTTTACAATAAATGCAATTCAGTTGTTTTTTGTTTGTTTTTATGTTTTTGTTGTTGTTGTTGTTGTTTTACAATGAACTTAATCGGCTATATTTACAATAAACTAAGAACAAATGACTATTCAATATTTATACAGAGTCAGGCTCCTGGGGCTTAAAGTCATTGTGTATAATGCCACTAATGAGTTTTCACTTAATTTTTTAAATGGCTATTCAGAAAGCCAGTTCCTATGAAACCTATTAGCACCACAGATTTAAAAACACATAAATACACACTGAATAAGATTTTTATTTGGAGAGTTCACCCTGTCCTTTATCATCCAGCAGTTTATAAAAGCAATTCATAATACTATAAACAGGAAACAAAAAATCAATTAAACTATCTTCCTAAAAAGCACAAGGCAATTGTGTTCCATTATCTACATATTTCTGTGCACACGTGTACATATATTTTTCAAGTAGAATGTGGCTACTTGAGTTAAGGAGTCAAGGGACTGGAGATTAACAAACCAGAGTTAGAAATTTAACTGGTTTTCAAGTGTGACCTGTAGCAGTAGAGAAAGAACAGCAAATATGGGCAATGACACAGCTTTGGAGCAGATGTTGTTAAAGTATAAAGCACAAGGCAGCTGATTTCATATGAAAAATTCACTAGTAATACACTTCTCTTCCTATAATCTTCACTGGCTATACACCAAGGTCAGGTGACAGGAATATTGCTTTGATCAATTTTTATTTATTTTCATGTACTTGAAGATGGTAAGCCAAATTTTTCCATGGTTTGAGATACTAATAAAGCATCTCAGAAAGTCAGTAGCTGAAATTCTATGCCATATTTTGCACATTTATTCGTAGTTATCTTTATTGGCCTTTAAGTTATTCCTAGATCATATCCTTCCTCTCTCCCTTTTCTAGATAGCTTGTTTTATTCATCCACAAAATGTTATTCAATAACATAATCATTCAGTAATCATTCCTACAATCTTTATAAGCCAGATGTTTCTCTTCCCTAGATTTCTAATTCTTATCTTTTAAATTTTTTCTGATTTCCCTTTTAGTGTTCCTTTTCTGTCTTATTTCCAATAAAAGTCACTATCTTGCTTAACATGTCTGTCCTGAGCCAAAACTAATTTCTTTGCAACCTTAATATTTAACAGCTTTGCAAAATCACTCAAAGGAAGCTACAAATTACCAGGATAGAGATGGCCAATAAAGATGTTATGTTAGAGATAACCATTCACCTTGCTGACGGTGATTCCTTCAGTATACACGTGAAGTGGAGGTGGAACAAAACCGGCATCAGATTAAACTCTGCTTGATCTTATTTCACTAGGTCAAGCTGTTTTTCAATTTTCCATCAGGATGCTCCAGCTATATCTCCAAAGTATCTAAGGAAGTTGTTAGATTTTGGATGCTATGAAATTGTACCCAAGGTAGTATTTGTCATTAAAAGTATTCACCATTTTCCAGCCCACATACCTTAAAAATGCGTTAAGGGAAATCCTATTCTTAGAAGAAAATGGTAGTGCAGTTACTAAAAATAAGCATTTAAAAATAGTAACTTCTTAGAACAGTTACAAAGCTTTCATAAGGACAAAAAAACCTACCATGTGTTTGTATATATTCTCTCATTTCATTTTCACAATGACACTGCTTAAAAGAGCTGTTATTATGACCTCCATTCTACTAGTGAGGAAACAGACTGAGGTCATAATTTGCTCAAGATTGCCAGGAAAATAAATAGTTTGAAATTGGAACTAGACTGGAGGCCTTTGATGCTACTTAATTCCATTTCAGTACACCAAACTGGAAATTAAGTTGCTTAATTTTGTTTTGCAAAGAGAAATAGTTTAAAAGGTAGATTGGGGAACATTTTCTAAGAATAGAAACATAAAACTTGATAGCTTTTATTCATTCACCACCTACTATAACAAGCATTCAACAAGGATAATTTTTTTAAAAGATTTTTTAAAAATGACAGTCAGCAATGGGAGAGAAGGAGACAAGAAGAAAGAAAAGACATAACTTGAGTGTTCTCCAAAGTCCTGAACAGAATATATTTAATTTACTTGCTCTCTTTTTTCTTGGGGAGGAGAGGGACAAGATTGTACAAGAAGTCTTTCTTTTAGAGTTGCTGCCTAGACCATGGTGACCCTTTTTTCCTCAGCGCTATGTAATTCTCGAGCCCATGTCAAGTCCTATTTGTACTATGCGACACCAAACTCCTCCCAAAGCTGAACACATGACCCAAACTGAGATTCAATTGGTTCTCCTTGGAAATAAAAATCTGAATGAAAAGGGTCTACTCTGGTCTAGGCTGCAAGCTACTCCTGTGGTACTCTCAGTCTATAGGAAAAAGCCAGTCAGCAAAGAGAGAAAAGAATAAATGCTGCTGAGAGTGAATTGGACCCAAGAGGCCACCTAGCCCCAGAGGAAAGAAAGGGAAACAGTTTCTGCCCAGGGTTTCTAGGTCTTTCCTGACCCAAGTATAGTCCCCCAGAAGCCCAAAGCACTCTCTTCCCTAGGGTATCAAGAATTCCCTGGACCTGTAGAGAAAATGGCTTCCTTCTTCTGAGCTTAAGTCTTTTTGAATTAATTTCTGATAACTGCAACAAAAAATGATCTTGCTCAAGACAATTAAAACTTTTGTATTAAAAAACAATAGAAGGGCAGATATCACTAGAATTTGTTATAAAAGGAGATCCTGAGAACTGCCCAAGGGTTCTGAAAAATCTTCTCATTAGCTTTAAACAAAGAAAAGCCCATACTGTTACATGGGTATTATTATATCAACTTTTATAGAGAAAATGACTTATTTTCAAGGAATAACATCTGTACGTCCTTTTAAGACTCTGAGAGCCTTTTTGAAATTTAAGGCATAATCTGGGACACTCGTTATATAAGTCTGTTAAAATTAAGCAAAAACCTACCTACCATGATAAGGAAAAGAAAAAAAATAGGCTAAATGGAGTCAGTCTTGTTCATTTCTTAAGCCTTCTTAAATTCTAGGCAAACCATGATGCTTTAATGTGAGACTGGCACCTTGTGTGCTTACAGAGGCATGAAAAGGAAAAGAGAGGTCCAGAGAGGTGGGCCCTACAAGGAGGACAACACAAGTTTTGACTTGATTCTATCTGGTAAGTTAGAGCTGAGGAAAGACTAACACCTATCTCTCCATTCTATACATGAAAAGACTGAAAACCAAGAAAGGTTTTACTCGAGCTGGTTTATTTATTCAATAAAAATGTGTTAAGCATGTGCTCCAAGCCAGGTACTGTGCCTGGCACTACAATTGGCAGTGTATTTAGCTGAGCTGCCTAACTCCCAGGTTATGCATTTTTCTTTCCACTCTTTGACCCTTACAGCAAACAGAAAGTTCAGAGGCCTAAAATAGTTAACTTTTTTTGTCTGTTTGTTCGATGATCTTATGGGCGGGGAGGGAGAGGTAAGGAATTTGGGGCTAATATTTAAAAGGTAGAAAGATTTGCATAAAATTCCATATTCCCGTTTTTTCTTGGAATGTACAAAAATCTGGCTACTAAGGCCAGCTCTCTTACAGCCTTGTGTCCTAGGCTGCCTCTTGTCACTGGGTATGCACTTTCTAAAATACCCACCTATCTTCACCACTTATTTTTCTTCCACGCCTGTCTCCTGTAGGCAGCCAAGCTTGTGACCCTAAGCCTACGTTGTTTTCCTAAGATTCTTCTCCCAAATGAAAAACCACAAACCAAAAAATTTTAAAGCAGGTTACATGTCAGCTGTACGCATATTCTATAGAGATATGAATTAACATGGTCCCTAGTTCACTCACTACCCTCCTCTATCCAAGTTTCACCTTGCTTTTATCCTTACAGGTTTTCTCCTTGGCAAAGCAAATTTCAGAATGAACCTCTACACTCCATACCTGTCTTTTCAATCGTGCTACTGGGTATCCCCCCACGTTCCCTCTTCAAAAGTCAGCTGGAGTTTTTGCACCTAAGCTACAGGGAATGCTTTGAGGGTCACTCCACTGAACATCAAAAAAGAGTTTGCAAACCTATCTGGTAAAGAGGGAGATAAAATCATTTACTAGAAGGACTCCAACACCTCTGGCCTAGGTTTCAGGGATACATTTTAGTCTCTGCAGTCAGTCTTCTGGCTCTTCCAACCCTTCGTGAACTCCTCATGTAAATAGTGTCTTAACACTGTTAAAGGAACCTCCATTTTCTGACAGTTTCTACATATCCACACACATTCACTCCTCTCCTCTCTCCAAAGTGTTCAACACAGCCATCCTGCGTTCTCTTGGCAGTTTCAGGTCTCTCATGTCAAGCCCCCTCTCTCCCAGGCTTCACTGAGTTTAACTGGGCTCCCTCTCCGTTTAGCTGAGAGGTCAGCAAGCCATTTTCCCAACAATTGTGACTACAGTACACTATTTCACCGTTAGTCTAAGAGAGAACCAAAAATATAATAAAATTCTAGTTCTCCAGTTTGTCTCTGAGCAAAATCCTTGGTCAATTCAGTAGATGTGTAGGTTGATTTACAATAGCACATAACAATAATAGTGGTAGTAGCAGCTAATATTTACTAAGCACTTATCATGTGCCTGGTATTAACAAATAGTAAACCCAGTATTAACACATGTGTCATCTCACTTAACCCTCCCAGATCTATGATATAGGAACTTTCACTACTTTAACAGAGAGAAAACTGAGACTTGTGAGATGAAGCCAATAAGGGGTAGAAGTGAGGCAGTCAATACTAGAGCTGAGCTTAAAATCATTCCTTCTTTTGCCACCCACCACAGCAATTCCTTCGCACCTGCTGTTTCCACCACCTTGATCTTTTTCCTACCTTCTGAGTAACTTGCATCCAGCCTTGAAA